GTGAGTTGTCCACACAAAAGCACGCGCGCGCAACCGTCAGTTTTTCATTCGCATCGTGGATTTGTTCTCACGTGACTCAATCCACCTGGTCTTGTGATCGGTGCACGTGATCTGACTAGCTGAGTGAGTGCAAGAAACACAGTAAGAAGAAAAAACAAACAAAAATAAACGTAGTCGGACATGGGGTTGAAGGCTTTAGTTTGTTATCTTAATCGGGGATTGTCTAAAACATGAAAGTTTGTTCAGTGCTCGGAACGAGGGACTGACTGATTTGATAGAAACAACTTGCCGGTCATTTGTTGTTACCCCAAATTGGCATATTTATCTGTTGACAAATACCAATAACTTTCAAATCTAATCTCTTTTTCTGTTTATATCGTTGTTCCGTTGGCACCATATTGTTTGAAATCTGGTTGGATATGAATGTAATTGACGTCTCGGGTTAAAACTGCAAATTCGTTTGAATATCGTGAATGCTTGGTTCTAACTCTGCCGACGAAATGCATCCGTTTAGAATCTGTTTCGTGTGGACGGAGTATGCACTGGACCATTTCTGTGTCACTCTTCTGGAGTGTCTCACCNCCCCCCCCCCCACCGCCCATTCTCTCACCCTTATCTAATTCCGCTAGATTTCATTTGCATACCAGTTTATAAACAGAAGTAAGAAGCTCCAAAAATTGGGATAGATTTTCCTAAAAGGTTATCTAGAACGCTAACTAGGATTGCGTTATTTCGATCCATAGGAGTCCATTTATTTTATGTCCCGGCAAATGCAGTATTGAAGGATTCTTGTTTCGTTGAAAAATGGTTGAAGCATTTATCAAATAATCGCACTTATTAGCGCACCAAAGGTAGAAGCAGGGGTGGGTGGGAGCATATTTTTGTTCCTACAAGACACCAAATTATTCGGAGTTAACTGAATTAGAAGGAACTGCTAGTGACACAACATCGCTTTCAAACAGTTCGAGAAAGATTCGCCATAAAAATGGAGTGTGAACGCTTTGGATAGATGGATACAGAATATGAAAAGAGAAAACGGGGCAATAAAGCCAATGAGTTTGAGACTAAGAGGCTTATTAAAAGTATTCATCGGTGATTTAGTTGCTGTAAGATAAGTGTGGGTTGGAAGAAGGAATGTAGTTTCGTGCACATGTGTGCTTAGGAGCTGTCTCAATAATATATATAAAGTATCTGCGTCTAGCGTTCATTTTGCGTTTGTATCACTCGTATAACTCATATAAACGTGAGTCGAACTCATAGATGATTCGAAGTGAACATTACTGTAGAATTGTCTGCGGTTTGAAACCCCCATGCTTCTCATCAATTGCGGGACTAAAACTGGGCCACCGTGAATGTCGATTACGATTTATATTTCCACCGATTTCCATCGATTTTGTGGTAACGAAATGAGGAACATCAGTTAGGCTTTATTTTGTAACCTGCTACGCTGCACAAAATGAATGAATTTTTCTCTTCTTGGTACTTGAGTAAGGCAATTTCCTTTGATGTAGATATGTATTGCCTTGTTGTACAGAGCAAAGGTTTTCCTCATTTCGTGAATATTTTGTAATTGTATTTGTATAGCAAGATTATCTCAATGATGCTTTTGCAGAACAAGAGACCTTTCGAAATACAGTATACTTTTTTCCGAATTCTGAAAATGTTCTATTTAGGATAGACGAAAACTTCCCCGTGACTGTTACTGGATTAAATCCTATGGGTTTTAGTAACAGGTTCTCGAATTGCGCTTAACAAGGATCACCGTTGAGAAACAGGGCAATCACGTGAAATATCTGTCACTTTTTGTATGCCATTTCGAGGATGGTACATCAACTCGACGTTCTACTTTCCACCTGTCTATTTTTGAATTGAGGTACGTTTATTTCTGATAATGGGCAATACGCAGGGATCAAGATTGGTTTTTTTTAGATAGAGAAATGTTTACATCTGTCTATAACAACAACAATAGCAACAACAACAAACGAAGTTCCATGTTAAGCCAGTCCCTGATTAAGACCGCAAAGGATGGACAATAAAGCTACGTTCACATCATCGTGTTAATGAGAGACTAAAACCTGCAATCTTATGTCGGATTGCGCTTGTTGCTGTTACTGTGATGTCTGTCTCGCTCACACTGTAAGCTGTCACTAAGCTAGTCAAATCACCTGCACCGATCACGAGACCAGATGGATTGAGTCACGTGAGAACAAATCCACGATGCGAATGAAAATCAGAGTTGCGCGCGAGTATCGGTGTGGACATTATTTACCACAATGGAGCTGGATGAATCGTATTCGTCCACCTGATAAAGAAATGTATTTTCAGACTTGCGATTTCACTGGTGTATCGGATTTAATTAACCATGATGGGATTCACGTGTTACTCTATATTTTTACCATCTTTAGCCACTTGCATTCAGTTCAACTGGGACTGGTGCTCATCTCTCGCTGAACGTTCATGGTGGTTTTAGTTTTCCCCTTTTCCCGATTGTCAATTTACCCTCCATGAGGGAATCTCCCGCTCGTCAACAGTTGTAGTCCACACATAGACTTAACTCACATTCGAATGTCTCGTGCATCCGTTTATGGGGACATCCTGCTGCACCCTCGAGACAAATGATTTTGCATTTTATCATGATATTCTATTTTTCTGTGGAATACATCCCACACTTTTCATCCTAATTAAAAAATTGAACAGAAATGAAGTGTGTGCAATTTAAAGGCTACAACAATAGCTTCAATTAAACAAAAAAAATGATGAGCTATAGAAGATATAATCATGTAAATGAAGGCTATTGTGAGCTTCCAGAGAATTTACTTCAAGAACACCAGTCATACCCTAAATGTACGCTGGTCATGGAGTGACTGAGAATTGTGCTGCTTTACAGAATCTTTATCCAAGGTTACTTCCCCACGAAGAATTACACGATCATGAAATGATGAAATGATGGTGCATTCTGCAAAAATCTTAGCCCCTTGAATTCTATTACAAGTCAATAGCAATGAAGTGGAGTTTGAAACTTACTTTATTCGTCATCGGTTGTTTTCTGTGTACAGTATTTTAACAGAGTTGGCTTTAAATGTCGCTTGAAAGCGTTTGATAAACCGTGTTTACCTAGAAAAACCCTAAAGTGTGCTATATAATTGAATGAAACATATGTGGTGTTTTCCCGTTTGTCAGCATAGGAATATTTCTAAGATCCCAGATTGTCATGTGTGAGTGTTCATATTTGTACGTTTTGTGAACATTCTCATTCGATAGTTTCACTGGAGGTGATGACCAACGAGAGACGAGTATTTCACATTACTAACGGTATGGTGCATGGGTTTCACAAACTTTCTCCTGGACAATAAATAGTGATTTGATGTAATTTCCAGAAGAAGAAGAAGAAGGTAGACAAATAAATGCTCCCAGGGAAGCACAAAGAATTACGGAAATTCACGGGTCTTTCGTCGGGCGTACAAACATAGAACCGGCGTTACAATGTCCAACTTATACCGCTTGTTAACCCATTGTGTTATAACTGATTATTCAAAAATTCATAACACACTGAAGGATTTATTTGTCTTCATCTCTGACTTTTCTTTGCTCCACAATCACCTTTCCTGTTTTTCTTCTGTTGGTTCATCTAAATTGGTATTACTGTGTATTACTACTTTGTTTGAGTGATGAGTATGAATCCATTTTGAAACATGTTCAACTCACATCAGTTTACCTATGCATGCCAGTCCCCCAGTGACAAATCACGCTTCTGGATTGTCATTGGGAATGTGGTTAAAATTACATTTGACAACTGAAAATATATCGAGATTAGGTGGCTTACGGCGAATTATGGATGCTGATAAAAAATGGGTGCCCATTTTTATCTTCCACTGTTCACGGGGACTATCCATTTCTGTTTTCATTTTGCATTGGTTCGGGCTATCTGTAGTTCAAACGCACAACGGTGCTCAGCGTCATGGGATTTTGGTCTGTCGAAGAAAATCTCACAACTGACTTATCTGATTTTCTAAACATAAATGTCGAACATCTACAGAATGTAAACGAAGCTGCATTTTCGTTATTTTTTTGTTTATTTTTGACAAATGGCAAATGCGCATAAAAATGACTGAGAACCTCGATGGTGTTTCTCATATTTATCAGCAGTTGCTACGCGTTAATTCATGAAATTGTCTAGGACACTGGAAAGTAGCTAATTCCGACTTAGCCCCATAGATACTGAACAATTTAGTCAACCGAGTTTTGATGTACATTGAGGGATATAATGTCTTCAGCATCTCAGACTGCTGAACAGAAGTTTATCTTATCATTCGTTATTATTTGAAATTCCCGTAATCTGGATATCGCTGTCAAGTCACTTTATAACGGTTTGTTTGTAAAACAAAAAGCGGAAACGCTTCACAAAGTAAGTGCGAAGCATCGATAAAACGGTGGAATTGGCTATACTTTTCAATCGGATGGAAAGGTTGACGAGTCACGTGCTGCTAGATAAGAGCAGGCTGGTGTCAGTTACACTGGTCGAGAAGGGCTGGTTTGAAATCTCGCAACAGGATGTATCGTAAAAGAGTCACCCGATTAGACAAACGAACGGAGACAAAACCGTATCAGCCCAAGCTAGACCAAAAGATTTCCGGTTGCCAAACAGTGTTCTCTGATGAAGTTCACAATTGTTTTTAATTCCATTTCGACTTACAAGACTATCAGCGTTCGAAATGAATCATTAAAGGTAAGCCTTTATGGTATTATGTGTTCTGAATAGTATTTAATTCTACTTTAACCATAAGCCTATTTTGTAGATGTAGACAACATCGCAACTCGATGTTTGGCTTATTTAAATAATTCCAACACCGCAGGAAAACGATTGCCAGGCGGAAATTTCACACATTATCCGCTCATTGTGTCTATCCCGTCACCTGTTAAAACTATAGTTTAAAATTAGTTGAGTCGTTCTTTTGTTTTCAAAAAATTACTTTTAAACATTACACTATTTTACAAAGATATCAAAAATATTTTTTTCCGTGCCATCCATTTGAATAAACTAAGTAACATGGTGTGAGCGAAACTGTTGTTGTTGTTGGTTGAGTGAACTCACGAGGAGGAATGTCACTACTAGACACCGTTGCGTGCTCAAATTGCGTTCGGTGAGATGCAGTGCCCAAAGACGTGATCTGCTCTCCCTTCATTTCTGTTTATTGTTTCGTCTTTATTTCTATCTCATTCTTGTCATACACTCATTGAGATGTTTTGCCCCCCCCCCCCCCCCCC